GCAATGATAGTTTATTAAGTGACCTTGATATTAATGAAATATAATTTTAATAAGGAAATTAAATAGTTAATTAATTAACTTTAAATATGATTCTTTATTAATTAATAATAATGATAATGGTATTCATTTTAAATATGATTGTTTATTAATTAATTATAATGATAATGATATTAATTGTAAATATGATTGTTTATTAATTAATTATAATGACAATGGTAATAACAATAATAAGTAGTTCATAAGGTTAAAAGTTGGAGAATTATTGATGGGTAGATAATAATTATTTTTTTTTTAATTTATTTATTATTTAAAAGTTTGAATCAATTCAGAATCACATGTTTTTATTAATATAATATAATACATAATTTTCCTGATGTCAAAATGATCTCTTAATATTAATGCGAAATGGCATAATTCCAACCATGTCAAATCAATACTATATTTCATTTTAATATTTATGAGTTAATTTTAATTTTATTACAAATGGAAGATAGTAAAAATCACAAGGCAATTAATTTTCATTTGAAGGTGATAAAGCATAAGTTCTCATGAAGAAATTTACAAAAATTAATTAATGGAATTGTTTATTAATTTAGAACAGAGAAAAAACCAGAATGGGTCAAAAGCAGGTATTAAGAGTTTCAAATCTGCTCGTATGCTTATATTAAAAAGCAATACATTACAATTAGGTCAATGTCATGAAAAACTTTTAGTTTTATCATAATTTTTATGTTTCGACTCCTCTTTTCAACTGCTTTAAAAGATCTTTTACTATGTATGTCAATAATTGCCATCCGGCCATTACTGCAATGTCAACATCATATCTGTTCTCCAATGCTCGTTTTTCTTCTGATTTGACATCTATCGGAGAAACAATGAGTACTTGAAAAATTCCATTATATGTTTGTTGAAGTATCTCTTGCACTTTATGTGAGCTTTCAAAACCTTTTAGTATCCATTGATTATCTCACACCATGTTTTTTTGGTAGATTGTGCATCTTCAGCCTTGCCTGAACATGGACAAATACCTGGTTGAAGAAAATAAACCAAATCATTACAAGTGTGTGTACGTGGTAATTATAATTACATTCACAATATTTATTATAAATCATGTGATTTAATTATTGGTATTTTTGCGTAACTTATTGGGGTTGGTCACAATGGTTGATTATCAAAAATAATAAATTTCCTGTGCAACCAACAAAGTCGAATTTTATATTTTATATTTTTATATAATGTCATATTCTAGATTATCATCATCATTATTACCAGAAAGAGAGGATTTTGTATATAAAACTTATATTGAAATACTTAATAATGTTAATGCTAATTCTGATGAAGAAAGTATGAAAGATTATTTTTTTTCATTAGCCAAGAAAAACAAGGAGCTTTCTAAAAATGAAAAAGAATATTGTAAGTAGTGATGTTAAATGGTCCATCCATGCTTGGGACGGACTGGACCACTGTCTTAAATTCAATCTGGACTGTTTTGGACTGACAGTCCTAAGACTGGTCCTTAAGATCATTACACAGTTGGAACAGTCTTTTTTAAAATTCAAAATTTATTTATTTATTTTTCACAAAAATTTTAACAATTGAAATAATACATCTAAAAT